AAAAAGCCAGAAGTGGCACTGTGGCTCAAGTGGTAGAGTGCTAGCCTAGAGCTGAAGAGCTCAGGAACAGCACCCAGGCCCAGAGTTCAGGCCCCACGACCAACAAAAAAAAAAAAAAAAAAAAGAAAGAAAGAAAAGAAAAGAAAAAGAAATGCACCAAAGATGGTTTATACAAGAAGGTTAAGGGAATGAAAGGGGGTGCATATACTGAATTTTCACATGAAATCTCTTTGTACTATCAATGAATCCTATATAAACTTGGGAAGAGCAAGACAAGTGGAATTGAGATATATAACGAGGTTGAAGGCAAGATATACACAAACTTCCTGTCAATTATCATTCCCTACCACCTCACTTCCAATAGGTAAAATGATTTGTCTCCTCTATTGACTAATGTTCTTGCTTTTCCTGTGTCCAAGCTTCTTTACCTCTTGTGGTGCTTATGGCCCTTACCCAATCCTCCTCAGACCAACCTTCTGCACTGTAGTGAGCTATGATCCTTCAGGCCTTCCAGCTTCCGTCTTCCTTTTCTCTTGGCTAATGTCCCTCAATTCCCACTCCTACCTATATGCATTAGTGCAGCTAACATAGCTCAAGCCCTTAAAATAAATGAATGTCTTCCTTATCTCCTGGATGCAATGTCCTCCTCACACTAAGGCTATCACTCTTCCCTATCTCCACCTTACCTCATCTCTCTCATGTCCCACACCACCCTTTGCCCATTATTCTCTATTACCTGCCCTTCCTGACCACTGTATCCCTCATCATTGGGTAACACTGATCACAGCCCATTTCCACCACCAGCCACAATACTCACCTCTTCTTGACTGATATCATCCATGGTGCCCTTTGACAGTGGCAACTTGATGTCTTGCATCTTGCAGGCCTGTAGCAAGTTGTGGCGGTCACTGCGCTTCTGTTCCAGCTTAGTCTCAATGGCTGTCACCTCCTTCTGTAAATGGGTCATTTCCCTAAAAATGTCCAGAGCTAGGTAAGACTCAAACTGGTAGGCTGCTTGCTTGACCTCCTTCCTCCCGCACAGGCCAAATATACTCACTTGTTGGCACCACCCAGTTTCTTACGAATCTCCTCCATTTCATGGTTCTTGTCATTCACTTCAGACTTCTTGGCCAGGTGCTGATTCTTCAGATCTTGTAGCTGGGCCATGGTCTCATCTATGATTTTCATATGTCTTTGTTCTTCCTGGTCCCAGTAGGAGGAATAGGACAAGAGGTGAGGGCTTTTCCAATTCATCTTGGGATCTTGTCTCACCCTTCCCACTAGGCAGTTGTTTGGAGCCACTCTGAGTACTGCTTTCATATACCTCTCATTACCTTCAGGCTTCTTTTCTCTTTTTCTACATTTTTTGGTTTTCCCATCCACACACACACATACCCCAAATACATATATTGCCTGCTATAGAAAAATTCAAACTATAGAAAAAGAATGAAGTATGGAAGTGTTACTTGTAATCCCACCAGCCAGCCAATCAATTAACACTCTAGCATCATTTACACATAGTTTTACTAGACTGCAACTATATTGTCACTTCAGGATGTTATCTGAGCATTTGTTTCTAAATTAAAGCTCTATTGTGTATAATATTTGTGTTTTCAAAAACCCATACAAATAGCACTATGTATTCTCTGTGAGTACACATATACTATACAAATAAAAATACTCACTGACCCAAGACCAACACTAGAAAGAACAATATGACTAGAACTGATAGTAGCCAGGCAAAGGAAAATTACAGCCTTACTTATAATCTTCTGATTTTTTTTTTACAAAGGTTCAATTTTCATTTTGATCTTAAAAAACATACAACATGCAAAAAGGGGACATATCTGTAACTTACTCTCAAATGGCTCATAAAAATAATAAGCATACACAAAGAATGAAAAAGCAAATATGACAACATTATGATGAAAGATGAATCTTGGTGATGGGTAGATGGGAGTTCTTTGACAGCTGGCATTCTGTATCTACAAGTTCTGTATCCATGGATTCAACTAACTTGAGGGTAAAATATATTTGAGGAGCCGGGCGCCAGTGGCTCACGCCTGTAATCCTAGCTACTCAGGAGGCTGAGATCTGAAGATCAAGGTTCAAAGCCAGTCCAGGCAGGAAAGTCCATGAGACTCTTATCTCCAATAAACCACTAGAAAACTGGAAGTGGCGCTGTGGCTCAAGCACTAGAGCACTCGCTTTGAGCTGAAGAGCTGAGGGACAGCGCCCAAGCCCACAGTTAAGCCCCATGACCGACAAAAATAAAAAAAAGAAAAAGAAAATTGTGCCTGTACTGAATGTACAAACTTTTCTAGTCATTATTTCTTACCTAATAAAGTATAACAACTATTTACAAACTAGTTACACTGCATCAGACATTCTATTTACATACTAGTTACACTGCATCAGACATTATAGTATAGAGATGATTTAAAGCATAAAGGAAGATGTGTATAAGTTATATACAAATAATACACCAACTCATACAAAGGATTTGAGCATCCTTGGATTTTGATGTCCTTGAAGGGGAAGGGGATTTTGTAGAACCTAGAATCTCCTGTGAGTATGAAGAATGACTGTACTATCTCTTGCAACTTTCTCCTAAGCTGAAAAAATATTTCAAAATAAAAAGTAAAAAGGTCACATAAAAACTATCCTAGATTTATATCCTAGTGTAAATCTAGTCCCACCCCCAGGATTTTACTGCCCAATCTCCTGTGTTTAAGACTGCCAAGACACTAAAGGAGATTACTTTATCATTATGAGTTAATGAAGAAAATACACAAGCAATCAACAGATATAAGCCAATATAAAAAAATCAAATAATATGTTTAAACCAAAGAGAAGACTAAATCACCTCAGAAGAGAATGCTGGGGGCTGGAGGTGTGGTTCAAGTGGTAGAGGGTCTGCTTAGAAGGTTTGAGGCCCTAATTTCAAACCCCACTACCACAAAAAAGGAACAGAGGTTTCATGGTAATTTCAAAAGGGTATAAATAAATACAATGAGTGACTGGTACAGGCATGCTAAACTCAAAGGAACTAAGCTATAGCATTCACTAACAAGTCAGATGGAAAAGTTGCTTTATTTCAAGCAAAACATCATCTGTGGGCTGAGAAGTTGGCTCAGTGGTAGAGTGCTTACCTTGCATGCATTATGCCCTGGGTTCAATTCCTCAGCACTACATAAGCAGAAAAAGCCAGAAGTGGTGCTGTGGCTCAAGTGGTAGAGCACTAGCCTTGAGCTGAAGAGCTGAGGGACAGTGCCCAGGCCCAGAGTTCAGGCCCCATGACCAACAAAAAAAATTTTTTTTAGGTTGCTTTTTTTCAGAAATGTGAATTTTATTTTACATTGCTTCTAATTTATTTAGAAGTTTGTGTTGATTTTTTGGTTGTTTTAAGTATATGTTTGTTTATATATATATATATATATATATATATATATATATATATATATATATATATATATATAAAGAAACATTAAAAATTTGGGCCAAGGGCTGGGAAGGTGGCTCAGTGGTAGAGCGCTTGCCTTGCATGCCTGAGGCCCTAGGTTCAATTCCTCAGCACCACATAAGCAAAAAAGAAAAAAAAAGCCAGAAGTGGTGCTGTGGCTCAAGTGGTAGAGCGCTAGCCTTGAGCTGAAGAGCTGAGGGACAGCGCCCAGGCCCAGAGTTCAGGCCCCACGACAGGACCCAAAAAAAATTTGGGCCAAGCCAGGCACTAGTGTCTCATGCCTGTAATCCTACCTACTCAGGAGGCTGAGATCTGAGGATCACAGTTCAAAGCCAGCCCAAGCAGGAGAGGCAGTGAGATTCTTATGTCCAATTAGCCACCAGAAAACCAGAAATGGAGCTGTACTTCAAAGTGGTGGAGCACTAACCTTGAGCAAAAGAGCTCAGTGACAGCCCCCAGGCCCCGAGTTCAAGCCCCACAAAGGATAAAAAACCAAACAAAACAAAACTTAAGCTAATACTGGAAATTCTAAAAATAGCTCTACTTTAAATGAGCTCTATGATGGAGGGAATGTGATCCTACACAACTATAATCCAGCATTTGAAAGGTAGAGGCAAAAATAACAAGTTCCAGGCCAATCTGTGGTACATATCAAGACCCTGTCTTAACCAACCAAAATGAAAAAAGGAAGAGGAAAACAAAGAATTGGTCTGTGTTCTATAAAAAATCATTAAACCATACAAATACTTACATGAATATAGCAATGGCTTGTTAAATTCCTACATCCCAAGGACCACTGATAGTTTCTAATTTGAAGCCATAAATAATGCTTGTAATAAACTTCAGCCTGTTTGCACAAAGCTTTTGCCAATATTCTGTATTATCTCAAGAATTACTGAGCTAAGAGAGTATTCTGAAACCTCTTGATTAATGGTACTACACTGCGTAATACTGGTCTCCTGTTTGATGCTTACTATTGACATTGTTCTTTTTTTTCTTTTTTGTTGTTCGTGGGGCTTGAACTCTGTGCCTGGTGACAGTCTCTCAGTTCTTCAGCTCAAGGTAAGCACTCTACCTCTCAGCCACAGCACCACTTCCAGTTTTCTGGTGGTTAATTGGAGATAAGAGTCCCACAGATTTGCGTGTCAGGGCTGGCTTTGAACTGCAATCCTCAGATCTCAGTCGCCTGAATAGCTAGGATTACAGATGTGAGCCACAGGCCCTTTTTTTGTTTTTAAACCTTGGGTAATATGATAAGAAAAAATTATGCTCAACTGTTGCTTTAATGTATATTTCTTTCATTTGCAGAATGGCTAAATTATTTGTATGGGTTTATGGGCTATCTGAATCTCTTAAACTTTTGTGCCACACTTACCTACTTCCTATTTAGGTCTTGATGGTTTTTTTTTTTAAAGTTTGACATACATGAGATTTATAAATTATGAATATTATGAATATTATCCTTCTATCATTTTCCCCTCCCAATATTTTGTCTGTCTTTTTAAATTTTCTCCTTTCTTACCTTCTTGAGCTTTTCTATCTCATTTTCATCCTTCTTCACTGTCTGTTCCCACATGTGTACTTTATCCTGGTCCTCCTTCAATTGGTTCTTTTCAAAATCCAACTGGATGCCCAAGCGAGTCTTCTGATTTTCAAACTCCAAACTGTAGAAAGAAAGGGCAGCTAAGCCCTTGAGCTAAGCTCAAGGTCTCCAAGTTACTCCTGAATTTCAGTCACCCATATACACATAAAATTGTGCCCAGAAGTTAGAAAACAAAGTTCCTTAACCTAGCCTTATGGACCTGGCACAAGACAGGTGATACCACACTCCATTTATTTCCTTTAAACACTGAATAGTCTAGGTACCTTTCCAATTTTCTAAAAAGAGGCATAAAAAGGTCCACCTGAATTGGCCAGCTATGGTTAATTCCTATTTGTTAAGCTTCTATATACATATAACATCTCCTAATCATCTAACCACAGCCCCCAAAAGTCATTATTATCCATATTTTACAAAGTAAACTTATGGCTAAGAGGTAAAGACTCTCCACGAGGCTATACAGCTAATAAATGGCAGATATTAATATTAAAACCAGTTAGATGCTGGTGGCTCAGGTCTGTAATACTATTCAAGACGTTGAGAGCTGAGAATCATGGTTCAAAGCCAGCCTAGCTGGGAAAATCCATGAGACTCTTATCTCCAATTAACCACCAGGAAACTAGAAGTAGAGCTGGGGCTCAAAGTGGTAGAGTACTAGCCTTGAGGGGAAAAAAAAGCTAATACTTAGGCTTTGAGATTAAGTCATATGATTGACAGAAAGAAAAAAAAAGATTAAAACCAAAGTCTAGTATCAAAACCTAAGCTCTTTCTAGTATATTACCATTACAATTAATGCAATGAGCTAAGAACAAAAATATTTCAACTCTGCCAACAAGTACTAGTGTGATCTCAAGCAAGTTAGTTATATTTTGCATTCCTCAGATTGCTCATCTGTGGAAATAGTAATAGTATTTACCTATGAGTCCCTAAAAGAAGTAGAAGTGCAGTTCAAGTGATATATGGCCAACCTTGAGTAAAAAAACTAAGCAAGAGCTCAGTACCAGCACCAAAAAAAAAAGTTCCTTTTCTTAGTTGGTGGCTCATACCTGAAAGCTATGTAAGAGCCTAAGATCTGAGATTCACAGTTTGAAGCTTGGGCGTGAAAGCCTAAGAGATTCTTATATCCAATTAACCAGCATAAAAATGCCAGAAGTGGAGGTGTGGTTGAAGTGGAAGAATACTAGCCTTGACTAACTAATGAAGAACACAAGGCACTGAGTTCAAGCTCCAGTCATTAGAACCATGCTTGGCACATAACTACTCAGAACAATTTAGGTATCAGCAGCAGCAGATACACTAGCTATGTTCAGTTCATTTTCCCCATGGACTTTGATTTTTTCCAGTATCCTAACCTCTCCACCAAGAGTTTAGGGCCTCTCCACCAAGAGTTTAGGGCCTCTTAAGCTTAGGTAGAGCAGAACATAAAGAAAATACTGGATTCCGGGCTGGGAAGGTGGCTCAGTGGTAGAGTGCTTGCCTTGCATGCATGAGACCCTGGGTTCGATTCCTCAGCACCACATAAGCAAAAAGAAAAAAGCCGGAAGTGGTGCTGTGGCTCAAGTGGTAGAGCACTAGCCTTGAGCTGAAGAGCTGAGGGATAGCGCCCAGGCCCAGAGTTCAGGCCCCACAACTGGCAAAAAAAAAAAAAAAAGAAAGAAAGAAAGAAAGAAAATAGTGGATTCCTATTACTGCCCTCCCGTCCTAATCTCTTGAAAATTTCAGAAGATATAATCAGCATGCAGACTGGGTAAGACTAACGCTAAACTGCCCTTCTAATGTCCAATATGGTGTGACAGATGCTGACTGATAACCTGCTAGTAGCTAAAACCTATTAGTCACTATAATCCAAGTGGAATGTAATTAACTCTACAATTTTGAGCTATACAATTTGAAGACCAATCTCCTATGATTCATAAAGCCCTCTGTGATCTGGCCCCTGCTCACCTCTTCACGACCTCCACCTTTCTTCTAACCCTGTTTTTATGCTCCAGACATTCAAAACTACTTAGTTTCCAAACAAGGGATGCTTCCTCACACTTTCAAGCATGCTGTTTTCACTGCCTGAAACTGTCTTCTGCTGCTGCCTGGTTGGCTAAATGCTATCCACTATTCAGGTCTCTAGTTCAGCATTCCTTGTTTTGTAAACCCTTTGCTGACACTTCATTGTAGGTTCTTAAAAGTTTCTATTACAGGGGCTGGGAAGGTGGCTCAGTGGTAGAGTGCTTGCCTTGCATGCAGGAGGCCTTGGGTTCAATTCCTCAGCACCACATAAGCAGAAAAAGCTGGAAGTGGTGCTGTGGCTTAAGTGGTAGAATGCTAGCCTTGATCTGAAGAGCTCAGGGATAGCACCCAGGCCCAGAGTTCAGGCTCCATGACTGGCAAAAAAAAAAGTTTCTATTACGCCAGGCACCAGTGGCTCACGCCTGTAATTCTAGCTATTCAGGAAGCTGAGATCTGAGAATTTCGGTTCAAAGCCAGCCTGGGCAGGAAAGTCCAAGAGAATCCTATCTTCAATAAACCACCAGAAAACCGGAAGTGGCCCTGTGGCTCAAGTGGTAGAGCGCTAGCTAGCCTTGAGCTGAAGAGCTGAGGCACAGCACCCAGTCCCCGAGTTCAAGCCCCATGACCAACAACAACAACAAAAAAAACACGTTTCTATTACACTTTGTTGGGCTTCTCCCTTCATTAATTTTTAGATGTAGAGTCTAGCCGAGTCAGTTGAATTCTACAGCTGCTAACACACTTATCCCTTTTTATGCAAGATCCTTCCATTGTCTCTTATTTCAATCTCTAATTTCCATTACCTTACCTAATATGAATACATACCCCAAAGTGACATATACATACTGAAAAAATGCATATCCTAGCCAAGTGCCCGGTGGCTCACGCCTATGACCCTACTCAAAAGGCTGAGATGTGAGGATCATCATTCAAAACTAGCCCAAGCAGGGAAGCCAGTGAAATTCATATCAATTAGCCAGAAAGAACTTGGAAATGGAGCTGTGGCTCAAGTGGTAAAACACTAGTTTTGAGTGAAAAAACCAAGGGACAGTGAAAAGTCCTGACTTCAAGCCCCAGTACTGGCACCAAAAAAATGCATTTTTTGGGGGTCAATTGTAGGGCTTGAACTCAGGACTGGGAACTGTCTTTGAGCTCTTTTTTGCTAAATGTTAGCACTCTAACACTTGAGTCACAGTTCCACTTCTAGTTTTTGGGTGGTTAATTGAAGATAAGAGTTTCATGGGGCTGGGAAGGTAGCTCAGTGGTAGAATGCTTGCCTTGCATGCATGAGGCTCTGGGTTTGATTCCTCATCACCACATAAGCAGAAAAAGCTGGAAGTGGCACTGTGGCTCAAGTGGTAGAGTGCTCACCTTGAGCTGAAGAGCTAAGGGAAAGCGCCCAGGCCCCACAACTGACAATTAATTAAAAAAGAGTTTTATAGACTTTCCTGTCCAGGCTGGCTTCAAACTGTGATCCTCAGATTTCAGCTTGCTGAATAGCTAGGATTACATGCTTGAGACACCAGCACCCAGCTAAAATGCATATTCTTTTTATTTTTTTTTTTGTTGGTCATGGGACTTGAACTCTGGGCCTGGGCGCTGTCCCTCAGCTCTTCAGCTCAAGGCGAGCGCTCTACCACTTGAGCTACAGCGCCACTTCCGGTTTTCTAGTGGTTTATTAGAGATAGGAGTCTCACGGTCTTTCCTGCCCGGGCTGGCTCTGAACCGCGATCCTCAGATCTCAGCCTCCTGAGTAGCTAGGATTACAGGCGTGAGCCACCAGCGCCCAGCTAAAATGCATATTCTTGGAAAATATCATGTTTTAAACTTACATTAATGCAATTGCAAATTTCATTCCATTTTATTTTTAGTCTACACTAGGCTTATGTTTTATCTGTATTACAGCTTATAAATCTACTCTTGCTTTGAAATGCTCTACAATATTCCAAAGTCTGTGTATTATTCACTTCATTACTTTTGGGGGGAGAAGACAAGGTCTCCCTATCTAGCTCATTCTTTTTTTTTTTTGGCCAGTCTTGGGGCTTAACTCAGGGTTTGGGCACTGTCTCTGAGCTCCTTTTGCTCAAGGTTAGCACTCTATTACTTGAACCACAGTACCACTTTTGGCTTTTTCTGTTTATGTAGTACTGAGGAATTGAACCCAGGACTTCATGCACGCTAGGCAAGCATTCTACCACTAAGCCACATTCCCAGCCTTGTAGCTCAATTCTTAATCTTTCTATTTTAGCCTCCAGAGTGCTGGAATTACAGGTGCACAGCACAATACACAAGTATTCATCACACTTAATTTATACTTTCCCCCAGTGATGGCCAACTATATTGCCACCAACATTCCACTACCACCTGGTACAAGATGAACAATCCTAAATATTTTTATTTATGATCCTAGGAAAGTCTCTTTGAGATATAGAATACATATGTGTACATGTGTGAAATTTCCATAAGTCATATGACATTTATATGACATATGTCACAGACAAATGTGACATAGTCACATTCATCTCTTACTTCCTTCTCCCCCACCTCTTCTAATACTTAGCACATGACAACCTGACACAACTCAAGTAAGGCTTATTGAATGAATGAATGAAAATGAAGAAAGGAAAAGCTTGTTTTGTTCTGGCTATTCCTCCAACCTAGAACTTCTTTTCCATCTCCACTTTTATACATCAGTACAAAGACAAAATAAAAGCTATTTTTTACTCTTAGTAGGTACTAAGAATTATGCTAAATATTTCACAAGTATTATTCCATCTATTCCTCCCAACAATGTAACAAGATAGTTTATTATTATTACCCACTTCATAGGAACTGTGGTTTAGAGAAATCAAGTTGTATAATAAGTTGTATACTTGTGTTTTAATCAGGTAAATTAAATGTAAGTACTTTCACACAATGTCCTATGTCACACTGTCTCCCTGATCTCCCTATCTTTAAGGCCTATCAACAATAAATATGGTACTAAGAGGCGGTCCCTGCCTTTTGAGAGCATCTGACTTTCAGGATGTCAGGTTGGAGGTTCAACCAAGGGCACCTTCATTATCTTCTTCCAACATTCTACGTACCGCTTCTTGGCAATTTCATTCTGCCGCTTCACCTTCTCTTCTTCAAACTCCCGGATGTTGCGCACACCTATCTCCCGACAAAACTCTTCAAACACCTCATCTTCTACCTGAGGGAAGAAGTCCTCTTGATCAGAATCCTGCTTCTAACACCAGTCCTGCCTTGATACACATGTTGGTATACTCATCCCATTACAAACCTGGTTCATCTTCTCCTTCAAGTCCTTCATTTCTCTCTCGCGGCTTTGAATGATTCTCTTGATATCATTAATGCGAGGCCCAAAGTTGGCCAGCTCACTCTCCAGCTTAGACTTTTCCTGTAAGCAGTGTGTTGAAAAACAAGATACTGGGTTCCTTAGACAAAAAGATCTACCCTGACAGCACCAGCCTCATGGTCAAGAAGGATTAGCTCTCCCCACACTGAGAAAACCTGACTTAACACTACTGCCCTATACTCTAAAATTTCTCACTGAAGCCATCACATGGCTTCCCCAGCCTCCAATTCAATCAGGGATGAACACACAGTAAATATGATTAAGTTATAGGTCCAAAGTCCCTTATCTATAATCTCTGGAAATATTTTAGTATTTACACTGTATTTTATAAAAAAGGTGAAGTTATACATATACATGAACCCATAATGTATGTGTAGATATATACACACACATGAATACTTACATGCATGTATACCTAAATACACATACATATACTACATATATACATACTATATACTACCTCCAAGGAAAACTAGGAATAATACCCAATAATCTAAAAAAAAAAAAAACTCAGCCAGGCATCTGTGGTTCACACCTGTAATCCTACCTACTCAAGAGGCTAAGATCTGAGGATCCTAGTTCAAAGCCATCCCAGGCAAGAAACTCTATGAGAGTGTTTTTTGTTTTGTTTTTTTGCTAGTCCTGGGGCTTGAACTCAGGGCCTTGGTACTGTCCCTGAGCTTCTTTTGCTCAAGGCTAGCACTCTACCACTTGAGCCACAGTGCCACTTCTGGCTTTTTCTGTGTATGTGGTACTGAGGAATCGAACCCAGGGCCTCATGCATGCTAGGCAAGCACTCTACCACTAAGCCACATTACCAGCCCTTCCATGAGACTCTTATCTCCAATAAACCACTAGAAAACCAGAAGTGGCACTGTGGCTCAAGTGGTAGTAGAATTCTCACCTTGAGCTGAAGAGCTGAGGGATAGTGCCCAGGCCCAGAGATCAAGCCCCATGACTGACAAAAAAAATCATAAATAGCTGAATGTTGGTGGTTCATGCCTGTAATCTTAACTATTCAGGAGGCTGATATCCAAAGGCTTATGGTTCAAAGTCGACCCAGAAAAGCCTACAGACTAAATTTCCAAAATAACGAGCAAAAGGCAAAGCTGAAGCCAAGTACCAGTGGCTCCCACCTGTAATCCAAGCTGCTTAGGAGGCTAAGATCTGAGGACTGTGGTTCAAAGCCAGGCCAGGCAGGAAAGTCCATGACTAACTCTCATCTCTAACGAATCAATAAAAAGCCAGAAGTAGAGCTTTGGTTAAAGTGGTAGAGTACTAGTCTTGAACAAAAAATAAGGACTAGTTCAAGCCCTAGGAATGAACTTGGAAAAAAAGAAAGGTAGAAAAGAAAGCAGAGCTGGAGGCATAACTCCAAGGACAGAGCACCAAATTAGCAAGCCAAGCAAGCCTAAAGCTGAATTCAAACTTTAGTACCAAAATACGAAAATACATCTATCTATTAATAGTACCCCCACCAGTAGGAGCTGGTTTATTTCATTAAATAACCTATGATAGCCACAAACTCTTGATCCTCTTGCCTCAGCCTCCCAAGTACTAGGAAAATAAGTATGACTGTCACAAACTTGTAGGTTACTTTTAATTCACCCTTAGAAATTCAAATATTTTTGAATGAATTATGCTAATAATAGCTCCTAACATTTACTGAGCACTTACTACTAAGCTATTTGTATTAGCTCATTCTGTCTTCACAATGACCCTATAAAGCAGATACTAATTCCAATTTATGGGTAAAGATGAGAAAACTGATGCTGAAAGTTTAAGGTGCCTACTGTCAAAAATATAAGAACTACACCTATGGTTATCTTGCTGTATACTGTGCTTATTAGTTCCTTGGAACAGGCTGAGAGAGAAGAATAAAACAAGTTCCCCACCTCCAGAAAAATCTGGGCTACAAATACAAGAATGGCCTTTGGAAGACAGGGTTAAAAGCCAGGTCTCACCTGGAGATTTAGGGCCAGATGTCTTGTCTTAGTCTGTTCCAGGTCACTCTGTGAGTACTTGAGTCGCATCTGCAGTCCATGGGCCTGAGACTGCACCTGACGCAGCTCTGCCTCTTTCCTCTTTGCTTTCATCTGTTCCTGAAAGTGACAAGAAAGAAGGACTTGATAAGGTGGCTAACCTGGGCTCAGGACCTTTACCTCTAAGGACTAGTATTTCCCTTGACTTACTTTCAGCTCCTCTGTCAAACGTTCCTTCTTCTCTTTCAACTTGTCCACTGCTTTCTCATCCCAGCGCCTTGCCTTGGCCTTCAGGTCACTGGCCCCACCAGAGATGACTCCTGACTTCTGGAACAGGGTCCCATCCAGTGCCACCGTCTATACAGTAGGAAGAAAATAAGAGGAACGGGCGCTGGTGGCTCATGCCTGTAATCCTAGCTACTCAGGAGGCTGAGATCTGAGGATCATGGTTCAAAGCCAGCCCGGGCAGGAAAGACCGTGAGACTCTTGTCTCCAATAAACCAACAGAAAATTGGAAGTGGTGCAGTTGCTCAAGCAGTAGATCACTCCCCTTGAGCTGAAGAGCTGAGGGACAGCTTCCAAGCCCAGAGTTCAAGCCCCATGACCAACACACACACACAAAAAAAGAAATTAAGAGGAAAAGCTGAACACTGGAATCTCCAGAACTGAGGCTATCCAGTTCCAACCTGGAGAAGAGAATCCACACCTTGTGGCGCTGGTGGCCTCCAAAGGCAATCCGACGGGCATCTTCCACATTGTCACAGACAAGGGCATTGCCACAAGCATACTGCAGGGCTTTTTTGATATGAGGTGGCTCATAGCGGATCACATCAATCACTAGCTTGGCTCCCTTGAGCTCCCGAAGTTTCTCATCTGTAGGTTTCACCTGTAGAGAAAAGCTTAGTAAGTAGCAGAAAATATTACTGAGGTGGGAGGTAGTGATTTGAATAATGACCCCATCCCCACTAGCCTCACCTCTAGGTAGTCAAGAGGCAAGAAGGTCTCAGGCTCCCCACGCTGCTCCTTGATATACTGAATACAATCTCGGCCTGTCTTCTCGGAATCTACAATAATGGCATCCATGTTCTTGCCCAAAACCTTTGTCACCGCTATCTGGTATTTCTTTTGTGTGGGCTGGCAGAGGTCAATGAGACGGCCATACTGAATAAAGGAAAAGGGGAAAACTGATGTTATGAGACTTTTGGAAGCTGGCTCAAAAATCTCAGTTACCAAGCTGGGCAATAATGTAATCCTAGCTACTCAGGAGGCTGAAATCTGAGGATTGCAGTTCAAAGCCAGCACTGGCAAGAAAGTTCATGAGACTCTTATCTCCAATAAACTACCAAAAAGGTTAGAAATAGAGCTATGGCTCAAATAGTAGAATGATAGCCTTGAGCAAAAAGCAGCTCAGGGGCAGCACCCAGGCCCTGAGTTCTAGTCCCAGAACCAGCACCAAAAGAAAAATCTCAATTACCAATTCACAAAGAGGGCAGCCTAAAATGTGTACCAGGAACAATGAATGTAGCTATACTGCCTAGTGAACAAGCTTGCCTGTAAGACCTGCAGTTTTATAACCCTGACATGAATAGGAATGGAGTGAGAGGAGACATTTGCTGGATAAATATTGCTGCCAGTTATTAGCCAATCTGAATCTTACTTCCAAAAGTAGAAAAGTGGGCTGGGAATGTGGTTTAGTGGTAGAATGCTTGCTTAGCATGCATGAAGCCCTAGGTTCAATTCCTCAGTACCACATAAGCAGAAAAAGCTGGTAGTAGTGCTGTGACTCAAATGGTAGAGTGCTAGCCTTGAGCAAAAGAAGTTCACAGATAGTGTCCAGGCCCTGCATTCAAGCCCCAGGACTGAGAAAAAAAAAAGGAGAAAAGTTTGGGTAAGAGAAGGCTTAAGGAATGAATAAACAGGTTATGTAAAAAGGGAAATCCAATATTACATTAATATCTAGAAAGAACTCAGAACAAGAGATTACACTGTCTCTTAGCTCAATTATACCAGATGTCTAAATGGGTGAAGTTAAGTTTTCCAAGACTACTCCTACTTATAGAACCTGACAAGATTAATGGGAGCTTAGAAACCTAGCAGCCTCAGCCCAGGAGACATTTCATATATCATATGATGATGAACTAGATTAATTACTAATTAATGGCTGAATAGGATTCTAGTAATATGTGCCAGTATAGTCTCACTTATATGATTATTTGATATAAAGGATTTGTGTTTAAAGATAAGGTACTGATTGTGATATTGTGAAATACACATTTAGTCATTGTCTCCAGTTCTTGATACTCAGCTCCAAACACTGGAGTGATAACGATGAGCTCACTAATCATTGGTCATTCATTCTTAAGTAGTTTTAAGATGGCAACTAGTTACTAGAAAGACTCAGGGCAAGACTGAGGATGGGACTTTCAGCACCATCCCTCAACTTCTGGGGAAAGAGGGCTGAAGGTTGAGTTGAGCAGGAATGGCCAATAATTTAATCAATTATATCATGCCTATATACTGAAGTCTCCATAAAAACCTAAAAGCTACAAGAGCTGGTAGCATGGCTCAAGTGCTTAGCCTAGCACTTAAGTTCTTGCTCAGCTAGTGCAGGACCGCAGAACAGCAAGAATAAAACAAAACACTAAAATCTGTACTGTTCAAGGTGCTTCTGGATGGCTGAACAAGAGGAGGTGCCTAAAGGGTGGTGCACTTGGACACATCATAAAAATTGCACACCTCCTTCTTGCATTTGGCTATTCTTCAGTATCCTTTATTAAAAAATTGGTAAATGTGTTTCTCCATGTTCTGTAAGCCATTCTAGCAAATCAATCAAACTCAGCGAAGGGTCAAGGGAACCCAATGTCAGTCACAAATCTGGGGTTTATTAACTGGCATATGAAAATCTGATGGGACTGAGTACTTAAACTGTGGAAATCTGATGATACCTCTAGGCAGACAGCAGAATTGAATTGAACTATTCTACACGACATCTGATGAAGAATTCCTTGGTGTATATGGAAGACTCCATTCCACCTCTCCTATATAAACACATCTAGTATCAGAAGTGAAGTGCTATTCTGGCTGTGTGAGAATAGGAAAAGCACTTTGAGCAAGGCCCTGATTTCAAATTCCATTACTGCAAAAAAAAAAAAAAAAAAAGGAAAAGCATTTTGTTTCTTTCCTTACAGAGGAACATAAGCATGGACCTCCATGCTATGCAGAAGACAAAAAAATTCTTCTTCTCAAGCAACAATTTCAGGTCATGTTTGAAACCCCAACCACCTATTTCACAAAAGAGTGACACCAAGATACTATATAAGATCCCTTATAGATATTATCTCAAATTTTCACCAGTACCTAACAAAATAAATCTTTGCCAATTCTCTTCCCTCCTACCCAAGTATGATTCCCTGAGAAGTACCAGGTTATAATAAGTAAGTTCTTCAAGGACAGAATTGATTCTAATTCACAACTATTTTCACAGCAGTACCCAGTACCTAAAAGTGCTCAAGAAATATTTATGGAGCCAAATTAAGTTGAACCTAGGGATAGTATAACATAAATGGATAATATTCAGGGAACTTGGGAACTCAGAATTTGGTCAAAGAGGCCTAAGGTATGAGATGTGAAGCCAATTAAAAAATTTACTTTGTATATTCACAATAAAATTTCCAAAGTGAGAAGAATGTCAGTGGCTCATGCCTGTAATCCTAGATACTCAGGAGGCTGAGATTAAGAATAGTGGTTCAAAGTCAGGACAGGAAAGAAAGTCTGTGAGATTCTTATCTCCAATTAACTACCAAAAACTAGGAACTGGAGCTATAGGCTTGAGTGGAGTGGCAGAGTGCTAGCCTTAAGCAAAAAAGCTCAAGGACAGTGCCCAGGCCCTGAGTTCAAGCCCAGGACTGGCACCAAAAAGAGATATGACAATGTCCTATGTGTCCCTGAAAGCTAATGGGTTGGCTAGTTTGTGCCAAGGGAGCTTAAGTCTGCACATAGCTACTTCCTTGAAGAGCAAAGCAGACCCATCATCTCTGCACATTCCATAGGCTTCCTTGGTCTCCTCACTCCACTAAAGGAGTAGACACACAGCAAGAAAAACCCTTCAAGACGGGCACCGGTGGCTCACACCTGTAATCCTAGCTACTCAGGAGGCTGAAATCTGAGGATCACTGTTCAAAGTCAGCCTGGGCAGGAAAAGCTGTGAAACTCTTATCTCCAATAAACCACCAGAAAACCGGAAGTGGTGCTGTGGCTCAAGTGGTAGTGCCAACCTTGAGCTGAAGAGCTGAGGGACAGTGCTCAGGCCCAAAGTTCAAGCCCCATGACAGACAAAAACAAAAACAAAAACCATTTAATAACATGTGATTGATGCAGTGAAAACAGCATAAGCTTAAGAGTCAGGACAACGGGGGGCTAAATTTTAGTTCTCCCACTTATAAACTGTGCTTCTTTGGACAAGCCATTTAATCTCTCCAAGTTGCAGTTTCTCTAGCTACACAAATAGGATTAACCCCCTTGTCCTCACAGGTCTGCTGGGAAAAGCTTGATAGTGAGTCTAAATAAGCACTTGGGAAACAGGTTTCCTCTCCAGTCTTACCACAGAGCCAGGGTAAAGGCGCTTGATGCTTTCCATTATCTCTGCCTTTCGCTGCTGGCGACTGCTCTCCTGGCGGTCAATACGGGCATCTCCCAACTGCTCCATCACCTGATTTAGTTCCTTATTGATCTCATCAATACGCCGTTTGGCCATCTCTACTTCCTCTGTCAGTTCTCCCTCTAACTTCTTCTGCTCCTCTAGGGATTGCCTATAAAGTGAGAGAACACAGGAGTTGTACACTGACTAGTGATAATATTCCTAAGTTGAGGGATGGGAAGGTGGCTCAGTGGTAGAGCGCTTGCCTTGCATGCTTGAGGCCCTGGATTCGATTCCTCAGCACCACATAAGCAGAAAAAAAAAGCCAGAAGTGGCGCTGTGGCTCAAGTGGTAGAGCGCTAGCCTTGAGATGAGGCCCAGGCCCAGAGTTCAGGCCCCATACAAGAGAAAGAGAGAGAAAAAGAAAGAAAGAAAGAAAAGCAGACAGGTGCCAGTAGCTCACACCAGTAATCCTAGCTACATAAGAGGCTGAGATCTAAGAATCATGGTTCAAAGTCAACCCAGGCAGATAAATCTGAGAGACTCTTAACTCCAATTAACCAGCAAAAAGCTGGAAGTAGAGGTGTGCCTCAGGTGCCAGCCTTGAGCAAAAAGGTAAGCGAAAATGCAGACTTGAGAATTGAAAGCCCCAAAGCCTGAGTTTCAAGGCACAAAAAGGGGGAAGAATAGAAAACAAAGGAAAGGTTATAAAACCACATACTTGCTGGTCGTAATGTATTCTTCCAGCTTCTCAATCCGTTTCTGATTCTCTTCAATCTCTCGAAGCTTTTGCTTGATCTTGGCCTGAGCAATAAAAGTATTCATCATCAAGGGCTGATCTAGTAAGCTCTAAGACCATGGTGCCCTAGCTTATATTCCCAATGTGCCTAATCACCCAAGGGCCCAACAATCCAAGACAATTTGTCAACAATGCAGGAAGCCTACTAAAAATGCAGATATACAGTGTTCTATTTGGCCTGCTAATGAATGGTTAACTCCTAGGACTCCAGAACTTCTCATCAGTATTACAGCCAGCCTAAGTTTTCAAACCAAACAGAGATTCAAACCAAGCAAGGTCAAGTAAAGCCTTTTCTGAACCTGTTTGTCCATCTGTAAAATGTGGGTAATTTCCATTTCATAGAATACACATTAAAGTACTACCTACAGGATAGTTAATATTTATGGCCATTACATTCTTTTAAATATTTCAAAGACATTCTTAGCAGACTGCCTGGAATGCTGTAGGCTTTTAGCATAAGAGAACTTTTTTTTTCTTTGGCCGGTCATGGGGCTTGAACTCAGGGCAACACTTATTTTTTGTAGTGGATAATTGGAGGTAAGAGCCTCACAGACTTTCTTGCCTGAGCTGGCTTTGAACTGCAATCCTCAGATCTCAGCCTCCTGAGTAGCTAGGATTACAGGCATGAGCCACCAGCATCTGGCAAGAACAACTTTTTAATCATCATTATTATTGACATTAGAGATGAAGTACGTGAAGTACACGTGGTAAATACGTGTGCTTTAGAGCGAGATGGTTCAAGTTAATATCCTGGCCCTGCTTAGAAAAAGTACCACACCTCTATGCTACAGTTTCCACATTTGAAAGAGAGTAAAATTGTAGGCATCTCAAAGCTTTAAATGTGTAAATATATGCAAAGAACAGTGTCTAGAATAAGTACTCAATACATGTAAAGTACTATCATTCTTGTTATTTCCTTTTCTAAGGACTATCATTCCTTTTGATAGTTGGCTGGTTGGTTGTGGTGCTGGGGCCTCACATATTTATGCTAAGCAATTTACTCAGCCACTGACGTATATTCGAAATCCTAATCTTGTAACTCTTGCCTCTGTTTCTACTTTCTTCCGCTCTTCTAGATCCAGACGGTCCTGATCAGCTTTCTGGTCTCTATTGAACTTCTCCAGCTCTTGGGCCAAAGTAGCTGCTCTCTTGCTGGCTTCTTCTTTCAACCGATGGTATTTCTTCACCTGTGTTAGGGACAGAAAGGACAGGGGTGAGTAAGTTAGCCCATGTCAGCCCAGTCATTTCTTCACTAACTCTTTTCAGGCTTGCCTGGTTCTCTTCCAGGGTCAAGTCTCTGCCCTGACTCTGACTCTCCTCTTCCATCCGTTCTTCAAACTCCTGTCGGGCCTTCTCCACAGATAACATCTCCTTCTCCAGCTCATCCATATCACCTTTACGCTTCTTATAGTGCTTCTGAGCATTCTGAAGAGATTTTTTCGCTGCTTCCAGCTTTTTAATCTTGTGGGAGGTATTCTCCTTAGCTTTGATGTACTGAGGTCGCTTCTGATTCAGCTCTGAATCCTTCTCCCTGTTGCCGCAGAAAAGGAGACAATCAGTAGGCACTGTGATTGGGGGTGGGGCAGGGGGTTCCCCTAGGCTTTTTACAGAACCAACTTTAGAGAATTGCTTTTAAAAAAACAATGGCCTGCCAGCTTCTGGTGGCTCACTTCTACACTCCTAGCTACTAAGGAGATTGAGATCTGAGGATCTCAGTTCAAAGCCGACCTAGGCAAGAAAGTCCATGAGACTCTTATTTTGGTTGGTCATGGGGCTTGAACTCTGGGCTTGGACGCTATCCCTCAGCTCTTCAGCTCAAGGTGAGCGCTCTACCGCTTGAGCCACTGTGCCACTTCCGGTTTTCTAGTGGTTTATTGGAGATAATTGTCTCATGGAGTTTCCTGCCCGAGCTGGCTTTGAACCTTGATCCTCAGATCTCAGCCTCCTGAGCAGCTAGGATTACAGGCGTGAGTCACCAGCACCCAGCTTCCATGAGATTCTTATCTCCAATTAACCATCAAAAAGCTGAAGTGGAGCTGTGGCTCAAGTGGTAGAGCACTAACCTTGAGCAAAATTACCTCAGAGACAGTTCCCAGGCCATGAACTCAAGCCCCAGGATGGTCATAAAAAGAAAAAAAAAAGAATAAGGGCCTAAGTCTAACATCAGCGACTCATACCTATAACTTTAGCTACTCAGGAGGCTGAGATCTGAGGTTCAAGGTTCAAAGCCAGCCCGGGCAGGAAACGCCATGAGACTCTTATCTCTAATAAACCATTAGAAAACCAGAAGTGGTGCTGTGGCTCAAGCGGTAGAGCGCTCGCTTTGAACTGAAGAGCTGAGGGATAGCACCCAAGCCCAGAGTTCAAGCCCATGACTGACCGAAAAAAAAAAAAAAAGAATAAATTTTTTTTTTAAAAAAGAAAAGTCTGTAAGTCTTCTCTCCAACTAGTTAGCAAAAAAAAACACCAGCCATGTGCAAGAGAGGACATGAAACCCTGAGTTGAAGCTATGATACAGGCAAAAAAAAATGGGGGGAGGGGTCTTGATACACATAGATCCTCAAAAAAGGGAGTCAACATCAGCTGCACTGGACATTGATCAAAACGAACCAAGCAACTCAATGGCAGCGATGGGAGGGAAGGAATGAGTGGGAAAGAGGGGACAGCTGACACTATGCAAAAGGAAAGGAATGTACCTATCACCCAATGTGGAAGAAATAACTGTATAGTCAAAGCCCACAGAACTCATAAACTTTATAGACCACCATAGACAATCTGCCCCATGAAGGTTAGAATGGCTTTGTGACTTTAACTAAGCATCAACATCCCACAATACTGTGAAATTTGTGAAATTATGTAATCACTTAATCACACTAAAAAAATTTGCAAAAAAAAAAAGGGGGGGTCAGTCTTTAATAGTTTCATTGTGGCATTCCAGCCACACCTAAGGCAAATCTACCATCCCTGCTAGGCCAGGCCTCACATATGTCCTTCACCTGATCTAACCATTTCAAATTCCTGTCCTTTACCTTTTAGACTTGACATTCATTTTCTTTTTTTTTTTTTGGGTCCGGTCATGGGGCCTGAACTCTGGGCATGGGCGCTGTCCCTCAGCTCTTCAGCTCAAGGCTAGCGCTCTACCCCTTGAGCCACAGCGTCACTTCCGGCTTTTTTCTTTTTGCTTATGTGGTGCTGAGGAATCGAACCCAGGGCCTCATGCATGCAAGGCAAGCGCTCTACCACTGAGCCACCTTCCCAGCCCCTTAACATTCATTTTCTAGGATAGCTTTCTTTTTTTTTTTTGTCGGTCATGGGGCTTGAACTCTGGGCCTGGGCTCTGTCCCTCAGTTCTTCAGCTCAAAGCGAGTGCTCTACCGCTTGAGCCACAGTGCCACATCCAGTTTTCTAGTGGTTTACTGGAGATAAGAGTCTCACGGACTTTCCTGCCTGGGCTGGCTTTGAACAGCGATCCTCAGATCTCAGCCTGAGTAGCTAGGATTACAGGTGTGAGCCACTGGCACCCGGCATTCAGGATAGCTTTCTTAGTCACTCTAGTGGCATACTTCTCATTGTTTCCTCTCACTTGGCAAGGCCACCACCCCTTCCAAATTCTTCCTCCTCTGACTACTTGTCTATCCTGAGCTTGAGTACTTTCTACTTGTATTAAAGTACAAGACAAGAATTCTGGTCAAAGCAAGCCAAAGAGAAGATAGGGAAATTGTTATCACTACTGGAGTCTAGGCTCAGGAGCCCAAAGGAACAACATAGCCTCTTGGTTGCCCACAAGTTACAGGCCCACATCTGCTTCTTACTTGATCTCCTTCTCAATCTGCTGCTGCTCCCGCATCATTTTGCCCAGCTCTTTCTTCTTCTCCTTCAGCTCATCCTCTACTTTGTCCATCCGTTTCTTGTCCTTCTCAATCTCTTTGTTCTTAGAAGCCAGTTCCTTATTGAGTTTTTCAATTTCTACTTCATTATGGTAAAGCTTGAAGAGCTGCAACTGTACTTGAGCACGTACCACCTCGTCCTTCAGGCGCTGGTAACGATCTGCCTGTGCAAATGGGAATGAAGATGAATACATCAGTAAGGCACTGGCCCCATCCTGGTCCCAAAAAGGTAGCACATAGCACATACCTCTTCTTTCTCCTGTTTGGCCTCCTTACGTTCAGCTGCAATATTTTTCTTACGATGATAATTAAATTGTGTATCTTCTTCAGCCTTTACCATTTCCTTCTTTCGCTTATCATACTCCTGTGCCAGCTCCCCAGAGCGACTAATCTCTTCAAATAGAGCTGTCCTCTCCTTGGGGTTCTTCATGGCAATAGACTCCACAGCACCCTAATAAAGGTCAAACAACTCTTCCATTTAGAGTTTAACTGGCTCAACTCCCCTTGTTTACTCACTTATTCAAGGAAAGCTCACTGATTCCCCTCTCTATAACCAATGCCATCTGTCACCCTGGACTTTAAGGGCATAGTCTGCTTTTGAGTAGCACAGGGAGCAGAAGAGACAAACACACAAGTAATATAGTATATTATATGCAGTGACAAAAGCCAATACCCAAAGAAAGACTAAATGAAATTTGGCAGGTAATATACTGGTAGGGATGCTTATCTGGGAAGGATTCCTACAAGTGACTTCTAACTTGACTTTGGAAGATGGGGGAAAAATTAAACAGGAAAATATGAGAGGGGGCTGGGGATATAGTTCAGTGGTAAAACACTTGCTTAGTATCATGCAAGAGGCCCTGGGTTTAATCATCAGCACATCTAAAGAAAAAAAGAAAGTAACTAAAAATCAGAAAGGTTGGGGCTGGGAAGGTCGCTCAGTGGTACAGTGCTTGCCTCACAAGCATGAGGCCCTGGGTTTGATTCCTCAGCACCACAGAAACAGAAAAGGCTAGAAGTGGCACTGTGGCTCAAGTGGTAGAGTGCTAGCCTTGAGCTGAAGAGCCAAAGGAGAGCACCCAGGCCTAGAGTTCAAGTCCCATGAGTGACAAAAAAAAAAGAAAGGTTGTTCCATGATTTTTTTTGGTTGGTTGTAGGGCTTGAATTCTGGATCTATGCACTATCTCTGAGCTCTTCAGTTCAAGTAGAGTCCTCTACCGCTTGAGCCACAGCACCACTTGTGGTTTTCTGATGGTTAACTGGAGGTAAGTCTCACAGAATTTCCTGCCGGGGCTGGCTTTAAGCCTCAATCCTCAGATCTCATCCTCCTCAGTAGCTAAGATTACAGGCATGAACCACCGGTGCCTGGCTTATTCCATGATTTTTAAGTAGAGAAAAATTAACACGCAAAGGCTACATGCCAAAGATAGCAATGAATTTGGGAAAGCAAATGGTTTAATAAGCCTTCAGTTTAAGGTTGGAAAACAAATGAGGCTAGTAATGTAGGCAAGAGGGCTGGGACTGTGGTAGAGTGCTTGCCTAGCATGCATGAAGCCCTGGGTTTGATTCCTCAGTACCAGGTACACAGAAAAAGCCAGAAGTGGTGCTGTGGCTCAAGTGGTAGAGGGCTAGCCTTGAGCAAAAAAAGCTCAGGGACAGTGCCTAGGCCCTGAGTTCAAGCCCCAGGACTGGCAAAAAATGGTAGGCAAGAACCAAATGATGGTGTTTTCTGAATAACAGTCTTAGGAGTTTTTCATCCTAAGACAATCATTCTCACACTTCAGCAGACATCATTATAAACTGCAGTGCTTCACCCAAGTCTCTTTCTTTCAGCCTATAGGACTAGAATGGGGCTTGATGATGAAATGCTGGTCTGGAAACTGCAATTTGAAAATAACCATCTAAGGTATGAATGAATGAATGAAATTCTCTAAAGAAAGAAAGGTAGCCAGGTGTGCCAGTGGCTCATGCGTGTAATTCTAGCTATTCAGAAGGCTGAGATCCAGAGGATAGAGGTTTGAAGCAAGCCCAAGCAAAAAAGTCCACAAGATTCCACTGCCAATTAACTAGCAAAATACTGGGCTAGAGGTATAGGTGAAATGGTAAAGGAGCAAATGTGAGCAAGAAAGCCAAGGAAGCATGAGTCCCCAATTTCAAACCCCAGAACCAGGTAGGGAAAGGCCAGGTACCAGTGGCTCATGTCTGTAATCCTACTTACTCAGGAGGCTGAGATCTGAGGATCTTGGTTCAAAGCCAGCCTGGACAGGAGAAAGTCTGTGAAACTCTTATATCCAATTAACCATCAAAAAGCCAGAAATGAAACTGTGGCTCAAGGAGTAAAAAAAGATAAGGGACAGAGCCCAAGCTCTGATTTCAAGGCCCAGCATA